GAAGTATTGGACAGGTTTTAAAATGCACTGCAGGCTAGAGCGATCCTACTACTTAACTCTAATTAGCTAATACCATCGCTGGAAACCATGTAGCCGAGATATTTAAACAATCAGTCTCCTGAACGCCTTCATCTCTCTATTCCATTTGTAGATCAGCCTGACAAATGGATTCCTCATAGCGTTTGACTCCTTGGCGTTACGAAAAAGGCCGGATTTGCAGCTGTGCTGCATGCGGAGGCCGTCAGGTGTCAGAACCCGTCTCCAGTACTACTTACGAGTAAAATGCCATCTGCGTACTATAGGTCAGCAAGATATCAATCCTGATATCAAAATGCGCATTCGCTCTAGAATGAGACCTTGATCTTTGCCCGAGTCCACTCTGCTTTAGCGAAGAAAGTCGAGAACAATGTTGAACAGCAATGGCGAAAACGCATCTCTCTGGCGAACTCCATGGCTAAGAGGGAACCTAAGTCAGATAGCACTCCTTCAACTCTGACGGCAGACATGGTTCCTGCATACATTTCATCAAAAGTAGAGACAGTCAGATACCCATGTGTACAATAGTATTTCAAGATTTTCCAAATCGTCGGACCATGTGATGAATCAGATGCAACCTTAAAGTCGAGAAAACTGGCAAAACCAAGGCAATCATAACGGTTGGCATTGCTCAATAGTACGCAGAATGAAAAACTGGTACCTCAACCTGAAGCCTACTTGATTTAGGCAGTCTCCCAATCGCGGTTTACTGTACCATTATTAAGTCTACCCGTACCCATAAGCCTCCTTAGCGTTACCTCTAGCATGTCTAAGTTTACACCGCATATTTCACGTAAGCTAAGGCTCAGACAGTAATAAGATAAAGGCAAATGAGTAATTAAAGTAACTGAGGTAAAGAAACAGCAAAGTATCAGTCTGGAATTCAAAGCAAATCAGTTTCAATCTCTACCGGTAGGAACAGATAACAGTGCTAGTCTGGACTGATAACGTACATATTAATCTTAGATTTCAGGGAAACAAGAAGGGGAAAACATTTAACTGTTGGAAATCGATCGCAGGTATACTTCCTTGATTTGCAATGACTCGTTTTTCATCGAGTAGCGACGACCATAGTCAGGATGCCACCAGTCGAATCATCTACAGCTTAGTAGCCACTACAAGGTGTAGTCTTTTCATTTCAAATCAATTCAGTTTATTGTTTGCGAGGAGAAAGATAAAATTGTTTGGCTATGAGCATGCGAACAATGTGCTTTATGCTGCGATATCACCGCTGAGCATAATCGGAGGTCCTGATACCCTGGTGAAAAAATTTTCTAAGGAAAATGACTGTGAGGAAAAGAGAAGACATTATCAGCCTGACTGTAGGGATAGTGCAGATTTTTACAGTTTCACAATCGAAAGGTAAACAATATTTCAATATCAGACAAAGGACTTAAACTTACCAATCAAGTATTCGTCATCTGCACTGGTTTAACACAAACTCATTTAAAATTTCGTCGATTCTCGATACTCCAATGCACTTGCAGAATATCCTTGCTATACATCTTCAAAATCCTTCTTCTTCTGGATGGTTCGCATTATTTTGAGGCGATTTTGAACTTCGATGCTTACCCATACATCTGATGAACGTTTCGTGGCTAATCGATCTGACCGAACGGAACGTTCGACTAACATTAAGTGCAATAAGGCTGAAAGAAGATCGCCGTCATTGCATGGGGTTAGGCTACGCGACGGCCTCAAGCGAGAAGGCTGACCGAATTATCGACCAGTGAGGCACAAAGCAGCTTTCATCACGTGGTTGTTGGCTGATAGAGCACGCTGGGTCACACACAAGTCGTGGTTCTGATGCGTGAACAGATAGTCAACGCGCGAACAAAATAATATTTATAACCAGCCCCTGCCGGCATCACGCCGACAAAACTACAACGCACACTGAGTCCCGGCGGCGCTGGTCTTCCATGCATGGCTTCGAACACATCGCGGCGATGCATGACATTCATTCACTCATCACTGTCTTAGCGAAATTAATTTCACAGCAGCAAACGTTATTCTAACAAAATTTTCAGGCGGATCTAGGCACTGACTTTGAATAAAGCTCAAAAAATTGATTTAACAAAATAGTTAATTTATATTTAAATATTTACATTGCTTAGTTAAATTCATAGCAAGATTCGCAACGATCTTTCACCCTACCGGTGGCGACCGAGCCATTCTTAGGTAGGGTGAAACCTGTTTATAGCTTCCTAAGGCAATCTTACGTAAGTAAGCAACAACGTTGAGCCTTAGGCATACGGTAGGCTTAGTAAATATGCAGTAAAAACGGTGGTACGACGACCTGCCTGCAGTAAGGAGCAAGTCAGTCTCTCTGTATCGATAGTGATGTGCAATTATATGCGATAATAATATACGATATGTAATTTCTCTGTAGCGCCGTCACTTTGTGCCGGTACGAAACATCATGGAACACTTGGTAGTCACCACAAATGGAGTTCGAATTATGAAAGCACTCAACTAAGGCATGTGATGCGAAAAAAGAAAAAATGGAATAGACCATAAGATGTAGACATATTATCAAGCCTTTATCCATGAAACTGTGCTTGCGCTTGAAACGCAGAGTTATCGATCAGTAAGTGATCTCAGTGCTAATCTAAGGCTGCAAAACGTGGACAGTAAGCGTGACAGCTACTTCACAGCCATTTAAGATCACGTAACGCAGTAATGATGAGGATAAGAAAAGACAGGGAGTGCAAAGAATACGTAAGAGCACCAGTAACAAGTGTCTGCGATGTGAATGCGCGAGTGACGAAGTTAAAGTGGCAATGTGTAAGACATACTGTAGGATGAAGAGACCATTCTGGAAGAGAGAGGTTTTAGGTTGCGCTTCAAGAATGATAGTAAGCGACCAGTACAAATACTTCAGATCAACAGCAGGATGAGGTGAACAAATACAAATGAAAATGGATAAGAAACATAGAAAACAGAAATCTATCAAAGTTTTGGAGACCTTCGTCCAGCACTTGATCCAAAATTACTGATAAACAGATTATATGTTGTGGTGTGTC